AATGCATCCTTACCTTAGACATGGAAAATGGATTGATGACAATCCCAGAAATTGGCCCTGAATGGGGGCGATACATATAAATCCCATTACCATCATCATTTTCTATGTCTACATTCCAGAACCCGATATTTCCAAATTTGTTCCCCACAGCAACCATTGTCACATCAGCAGTAGGAAAAAACCGCACATCCATAATTCTCCCTGGAACCACCCTAGCTATATTCTTTGTCTCCAATTTCAGTGCCTCCACTTTCACTGAACCACTCGCCATTTTTCTCACTTTTGGTGCCTCAAAATCCTCGTTTTTCTCCACATCCTTAACTAAATCACAAGGAGACTTATTACTCTCACTCAACTGAAATTTCTTAGAAAATCCTGAAATAGTTTGGATAAGCTTCTGATCCAAGGCATCATCACTAGTGTATGCATCTCTCATAGAAAGGGGACCTGGTCCTCGAGGGGATACTCTCTTTACAGGAGAGGAATTCAATTTCAAAATTTCATTAACTCGAGTTTCATCGTAATCATCTTTGAGCCCACAGGCAGAGATTGCATCTGGTGGTACCCCACGGGTCCTGAGAGACCGACGTAGGACCACCGGAGTTTCGGGCTTCAAACTCTTTGTTGGACTCTTTTTGTATGATTTACTTTCGGTTCTGCCATAAAATTCACATATTTCAATTGTAAATAACAAATAGACAGATGAAGCAGCAACCTTTTGACCAAAATTCTATGCGATTAAACACTTGTTTGAAAGGGGTATAAAGAATAACACATGTTTACATACATACTTCTTACAAAAAGAAATCTATCATCCATAATTTTTCATGCAATCCCAATTTAAATGGCCATATGCAACATATAAACGGAAATAAATTTACACAAAACCACACACTCATATGAATATATACGCTTGTACTACAAACACAAAAAGAAAGACCTTTGACGCTTATTGACGGTGGAGAGATCGTTGATTCTGGATTGAATCTTGAGGGCGGCAAGCATTTCATCATTCCGTTTAATGTTTTCCAATCTTTTTCGCTCGTATTCGGTGATTTTCTGGTCCGCCATGCTTTCTTCGTTCTCTTGCAAAATTAGGCTTTGAAAGGTAATTCTGAACTTTCTAGTGGACAGATTTTGGAACTCGATATACGCCAACTGGGGTTACGCTGGTTGAGTGTATAAATTAGGGCGCGGGAACGGGAAATGGCGGGAAAGTCAAGTGTGTTAATTACGTGGCATGTTTATGGCCGATTCTTATTTTGAAATGAGCCTGTCTGTTTCTCTGTAGATACTGAGCTTCCTGATCAAGTTGTTGTCTACAACAAGCCCAATTAATTGGACCGAACCCAACCGAAATAAGGAAATTATTTAGCCCCTGTTTGGCCCCAATTATTTGGCATTTTTGATAGTTGAAAATTTTTGGAATAGTGATTAATGGGATAATGTGTGGTGAAAAAGTAATAAAAAATTTTAGATTTGTGTGTAATAATATTTTATTTGATGAATGTGTGGTTGTAATAAAGAGAGAAAAATTTAATGTAATGTAATTTAATTTAATGGGGGCCAAACAGAGGCTTAAGTGGAAATTATACAATACCAGAATTTTCAACTTCTAATTTCAAAATTCAGATTTACAAGTTTTTATTTCAAAAATCAGATGATAATTAAAATTTTAAATATTATTATTATTTAAAATTTAAACTAATCCATCAAAACCCTAAAATCAATTTCAACCCTCTTCTCCCTCTCTCCCTCTTCTCACTCTGTTCAACGTTATGCATAAAGAAGCCACCATCGATTTCATCTCTCTCTCTCTTCGTTGCCATTATTGTGTGCAGTAGCGAGGTGCTCACTGCTGCAGATCATGGGGGCGCCGCATATTGGAGACCTTTCCTCCATTTTTTCTTTGGTCATAGGTGGTTGGGGTTGCAGATAGTGTGGATCGGGATAGAAGACGTTCTCGATGGGGGATCTGCAGATCGAAGCCAGAGTAGAGAAGTGATGGTAATGGTTGCTGCAGATCGGAGCCGAAGAAGAGAATGAGTGGTTGTGGTTTAACATTGTTGTGGCAATCTGTCATAGAAAAGAAAGGGTGGTTGTGGTTTGAGATGGTTGTGGTTAGGTTGTTGGTGGGTGGCGACAATGACGGTGACGGAGTGGGACAAACGGTGTTTGTGATTAATTATTTGGATTTGTGATGTGGTGGTAGAATGGCCTGCTGCAGATCAGAGCCGAAGAAAAGGAATGGTTGTGGTTTAACATTGTTGTAGCGGTCTGTCTTAGAAAAGAAAGGTAGTTGTGGTTAGGTTGTTGGTTGAGTGGCGGCAGTAACGGTGACGAGTGGGGCAAACGGTGTTTGTGATTAATTATTTGGATTTGTGATGTGGTGATGGAATGACGTGACGATGTGGTTGTGTTTTTCTATGATGTGTTGATTTTTTTGAGGTGGTTGTGTTGTTTTCGAGAAATGGTGACGGTGGTTCTGATGGCGGTGGCGATGGTGCTGTCGGAGGGAGTGGTGCGATGGTGGTCACAAATTATTTGGTTATTGTGACCATTAAACTGATTGACATGTGACCAATAAATAATAAGTGACGAATAAAAAAGATAAATTGTGACCAAGAAATAATGTGTGACCTAAAAAAAATTTAATTTGTGACCGATAATTTGACAATTTGTGACTGTCTACTAAGTTGTGACTTATAATATTTGTGATTTGTAACTAATGAACAAATCGTGACCTACAAAATTTCAGAATTGTGACCATAAAATAATTTGACATATAAAATTTGTGATTTGTGACCAATGAATAATATGTAACTTGTTAATTTGATAGATTTATAACCGTTGAATAAATTGTGACGTATAAATTTATGATTTGTGACCGATAAATGAATTGTGACCTATAAAATTTTTGAATCGTGACCGTAAAATAATTTGTGACATATAAATTTTGTGATTTGTGACAAATGAATAATATGACCAATTATATGAATTTTGTGACCAAATTATATGAAATAGTGACCTTAATTTATTTATTTAATAATATATATATTATTTATTTATTTATAAATAAAATTAAAAAAAATTTGAGATTTGAAATTTTAAACTTATTTTCTTAAATTTGAAATTAGGGAAACTTAACCTCTTAGTTATGAAATTTTCCCATTATTTAAAGGGCTTTTTTACATTTAGCCTTCGTTTCATTTGGATTAAAATTTCAAGTCAAAGTTAACAATTAAATTTGACCTCATATTTTATGGGATCCAAAACTTTTCAACCATATATCTTATCAACTTTTATTAAAATCTACTAAAAAATTGATTTTAATCTCTACCAAACAGAAGCTTATAACCTTTGTGGGACTCTCTTTATTCAATAAAATCCGTTAGGATTGTTTAAACAAAAACCCAAGGATTTGAGTTTATGGGAGAAACTCGTTAATGCTATTTATAGTCTACAATTGCATTGGTCATCTTATGTGACAACTTGTTATTTGAAGCATTAGTTTTCTATAATTCAATTGTCTCAAATAACAAGTTGGAGCATAAGATGACTATTGTAATTGCTGATTATTTTAATATGAAATTTGAATCTATCCAAAAATTAGGGACGGCATTATTGCCAAGCAGTGAAGAAGGAACCGGATTTTTCAAATGAGCCATTGTTTGGCATATATTCTTTCAAAACTCATTTTCAACCATACATTTTTCAATAAAATAATATTTTTTATCACATCAATAACTTTTTCTTACTTTTTAACCATATATTTCTTATCATATCACTATTTAAAATACATTCTTTTCTCAATAATATCCATCAAACACACCACAACACCTACCTAGAGTAATGGCGAAAAAATAAAGTTCCATTAACTTTCATGCAACCGGATACAAGATTTCATTATTTAAAATACATTATTTCCTCAATAGTATCCATCAGACACCCCATGAGTATCAATTTTATGTATTTTTCTATTTTGTGATGGGACGACAATTGTGGGCCTAATTATTCCCAATTTTTATTTACATAAAAGCAACTTCTCAATCAAAATATAAATTTACTTATTTGCTTTAGTTAAAAGCAGTTACGGTAAGTGCAGTCTGTTTCACTTTTATGCACTTTCATAAACCCCCGGGTTTTGTTGGGGTGAGGAGAATGGGGATTTAAGAGACTTAGCAACGAACATGATTTTTAGGACTCTATAATCCACTTCCTCATGGACATTAATAAGAGCGGCATTGCAACATCTTTAAATGAGAGATTTCTTGATACAAATGGAAAAATCATCCTCGAGAAAGGAAAATGTACCTAAAATATGTAGTCTCTCCTACAATATGACTTTCATCCCAATGGACTCGTTTTTCTTTCATGCCTTTATTTCGTATTTCGGCCCAATATTTCTATTGCCTAAACAAAAGAAATTTTTTTTCTTAATTCTTGCAATCTCTTGTGTCGCGGTCCTTTTGATTTGATTCATCTTGTGACTATTAGACAGTGAAGTGCTGATGGATGGTTTCAATGTCTAATCCCTTCAGCTTAACCACGTATCCCTTAAGAGTGTGAAGTACTCTAAGCCTGCAAATTACTTGGTAGAACACAAAGGGGTATTAGTATGATAATTCATCAGAAAACATATGCAATTCTAAACAATATTAACAAACAAAAAGAAGTTAAAATCTTGTTCGTTCTGAGCTAGTAAGGATCGTCTTGAATACCTTGCAACTTTGGCTCTTTGTTTAGCCTACTCAGCTATTTCAGACTCTCTAGTGATTTTTCTCATTGAACAGGAGCAGACCTGTCTGCTGTCCGGAGGCCACTGTGCTTCTCTCTCGCCCTTCCCGTAGTCCTTTTGGTTGTGAAAGCAGTCTACTTTGTTCAAAATACTGAAAATATGGATGAAAGGTAAATCTTGAAAAGATAAATTTTCTAGTTTGGGAATGATTAGATTTTGTGTAGTACCTTGTTCTGGATCATTGAATCCCAGGCATGGCCACTCAATGCGAATCGGATGATGAACTTGCGAGTGTCGAGTGGGAAGTAAGTGACAATGCTGAAGATCCAGGTGACTCCAGCCCAGCCCCATCCAATGTCATGAATTGTTGCGAAACCCCAGTTTGATATACAGCAATAATTGTAGCCAACTGAAATCAAGAACTCGAATGACATCAAAAACTTGAAGCGATTGTTATGTCAATCACGAGCTGAATTTTGCTTCCAGAACTTACCAATTGGGCTATTAGGAAAGCGCTGAATAGCAAGACACCAGGGTGTTCCACGAATGACCAGCGTCGGGACCTAGTCACAAAGATGAGTGCTCGACTGATAATGCTCACTTGGAGGTAGATAGCAGCTGTAAGTTCATCTGCATTGCCTCTAATAGATCTCACTTTGAAGGAATTCTGTAAGCCATCCAAGTATAGTGCTTAAATTCAGTTTTCTTTCTCCTACTATTGTTCGAAAATGTGCTTGTGTGCGTACATATATATGACAAGGTTTGGTATTAAGGAATGAACTTACAGAGAAGAAATCAGCATCAGACGCAAGGTAAAAGAATACAACAGTCATGACAGCCCCGAGGCCAAAGCCAGTGGCAAAGATTTCCTTGAGTTTCCACGAGTCGGGCACTGGAGACGGTTTCACCCCTGTCCTTGGAGATTGTCATGATGGTACCATCGTTAAGGACGGCACTGATTAAGACCATAAAAGGTGAGAAGTCAAACTTCCATATGAGAGCAATTAACATAAATCCCATGACGATACGAATTGTGATGGAAACAGCATAGATGGTATAATTCTTCATCCTCTAGAAGATTGCTCTACTTGTCAACACTGCACTAATAATCACGCTAAGTCCTGGTTTGGTCAGAACAATGTCTGATGCACCTCTGGAGGCATCAGTTGCGTCTGCCACAGCAATACCAATATCTGCCTTCTTCAGTGCTGGTGCATCATTCAAACCATCTCCTGCCATACCACTAACGTGCTTCCTTTCCTGCAGTTTCTTCACAGTCTCGTATTTATGCTCTGCATGGACACAACTTGTGTATTAGGAGCAAAAGGTACAACCATTTAAGATTGATATATATGCAACATAATGAAATAGAAGTGTACTTTAATGGCATGTTTTGGTTGATGGAAAAAAATGCTATCAAATTAAATAAGATCACACAAAAAGAACGCTATAAATACTAAAACTATGACGATTACAAAGTGCTATGTAAAAGTTTTTTATAGCATTTTATAATAGCATTCATAAAATGTTATAATAGAGGTACGGCTTTTAATAACACCACCTACAGTAGCATTCGAGAAAATGCTATAAAATATGATAGATAGCATTTTTCGCAAGCTATAAATGACTTGATATGTTGTAGTGAAATAAGCTACAATATGTTAATTATAGTGTCGAGTTATCCTATGCATTAAAAGTGAACTTACCAGGGAAGACACCGACGAAGCCATCAGCCTTCTCAATGAGCTCTTCAACAGGAATTGAAGCAATTGACTTATCCTTGCTTTGGCCAAGAGGGGAAGACGATGGATACATGTTTGTGCCCATGCCAAGCCTATGACCAGTCGCTTTGCCAATGGCAAGCTGGTCACCTGTGAACTGTGATCATCTTGACATTAACACCGAGTTCAAGACCTTTATGAATAGTCTCTGCACTGTCATGCCTTGAAGGGCCAAAAAGAGACGACAAACCAACAAACTCCCAAGGTTCACCAGCTCTTTCTTTAGTTTTCTCGAGAATAGTCTATTAAAAAATACGATATTGTCATTCTTTAGTAATGCATTATCTTCGATGAGTTTGTTTCATCCTTTTGTGAATAATTTCATACTTTGATTGTAGACTAGCTCACCTGTCGTGCAACACCAAGAGAATGAAGACACGGTTGGCAAAATTATCGATGATATCGTGGGCCTTCTTCCTTGAATCTCCTTTGAGTTCGCATAGATCAATGATCTGTCAAATTACAAAAAAAGGTTAGCTATTAGACATTTAAACTGTTGGAAAAACTAGATAAACTAAGTTAATGGCTGACTTTGACACTAATTTTAAGCAGGACCCTCTTGGCTATTTTAAAAGATGAAAGTTGATTTGTGTTCTCCTCCATGAGTACAACGAAATCATATACTTGTCAAAAATGATGCTCGGGTGAATGAGAAATTGAAGCTCAAAGTGAGCCATGTGAAAGGAGTTTATGTTGGTGGGAAAACTAAAAATAAAGTTTGTTTCACATAAGAAGTGGGTGAAATCTAAAACCACTTTATAAAGGATTGCATTTTAGAATGGTGTAATAATGTGTAGTATAGAGGCTTTCTCCACTTGCGCACGCAGGGGGGTGCAAATAATGGATTGAAATAGGTTTCGGACCTTGAACCTGTGTGCGAGCACGATCTGCGTACACGAATGTCCACGGTTTGCTACATTTTGTAATTTACAGAAATGAGCAAAATCGGCCCCTTAGGAGTGTCCACGGTTTGCTACATTTTTTAATTTTTTCAACAGACTTTTGGTTTTCCAAAACTGTTGAAACTCCTAAAACTCGTGTGGTAATTTCCTTGAAATGAATAGGTAAGTTACAAGATCCAAAACTTTTATATATCTCGTTTTTTCCCATTGTTCAGTACACGAAAAATCATCTGCAAATTTATTTGCATACAGTTTGGGTCTGTCTTCAGTTTTATTTTCTGTTTGTCTGTTTTGGTGATATTGTTCGGGCACTCATCCAGTTTGCAAGAGTATAATCTGTGGTGCTCAGATTGTGCTGCTTTGCCGTTGTATTATGGGAAGCAGACGCTCATATCATACCTCAAGCACGTACAGTGAGGGGGCNGTAGTTCTGCTTAAATCAGCTGTTACACTATACTGCGATTTAACATATTGTCGAATCTGCTGTTGTATTATATCTGTTGTGTATATTTGAATCCATTGTACTCAAAGTTATTGAATCTGCTACTGCGAATCCGGTATTCAATATTGAAACAATTTTCCTACATAAACATTATATATTATTTCTACAGCTATACAATTTTATGATTATCTTTCTTGATCTGGAGCGCCCTTGCTGCTTCTATGCCAGTCTCCATTAGAGTCAATGTAGGTGATGCATTGCGCTTTTCAACCGGGTTAAAGGGCAAGAAGTGCACCTCTTTGATTCCAGCTTGTGCCTTCAAAAAGTCACAACCACACGCAGTATATTTACAGGTACAAGAAGGTATTTAGATCGTGAATTAAACTTTAAATGTATTTATAGGAACGCTTTACGTGGCGGCGTTGAATGTGATGAAGGTTCTACATTAAAAAGTGACATATCATATCCCTTTTTAATTAATTAAAAGGTCATACATTATGTCATTTGACTTTTTCTTAAATAAATCTCTGGCTAAGTTCACGATGTTCTAATAAGAATTTCTTAAAACTAATATTTAGCCAATACTGTTAATTTTTGGTGTGTTAGATGTGAATTGATGTTCGACTTTAGAAAATGACACGTCACTTTTAATTTAAAAGGTCACCACGTATCATGACATTTTTTAACAGAACATCAATGGCCAAGCTCACAATGTATTTATAAGAATCTTTTATGAGTTATATAGAATTGTAATATAAGTTCTAGGTTGTCACGAAGTATTATGTCAAGAATGATGTGTATGTAGCATGATTGCTCCATCAATCCACCACCAGTGCTACTGAAACCTCATCACCAACATCCATTGCCCATGTACCATAGTTAGTCACCAACCCAATAAACAAACGAGTCCACTAGCAAACATACACGTTACTGCCTTCTTCCACCACCCTCAATAAACAAGCCTCCAACAACCACTCGCAAGCAGGGGCGGACCCATTATGGGTCCAGTGAGTACAATTGCCCTCACTGGACCCTTAATTTTTGACATAAAAAAAAGTCTACATAATATCTCATAATTTTTAACCCAAATCCAACAAAGTAAGTATTTGGTATTGAAAAAAAAAAAAGCTCACATAAGCTCGTCTTTTATGTAATTCTATGTCGACCCCGCCGAACCATAATCATGGGTTCGCACCTGCCCACAAGCCATTGGTGCCGCCACCACTTGATCATGAACTAGCTCACCTCGAAACAATAAACTAAAAAACCATTAATCATGAACTAGCTCACCTCGAAATTGAATCATGAACAAGATCTAAAAAAAAAATTGTAGAATCAATTATAGCATTTTTATGACAAACTGAATTGACATATCTTGAAAATATTTCCTTTTCCTAAAGACTTGGTCTGGTATTCCAAACTTTTTTTGTTTGGGATGAAATTGTTGAACGACGAGAGTTGGGTTTTCTGCGTAAATTTATGGAAGAACCAAATTTCTCAGTTTTCTCCGGTCGGTTGTGATTGGTGTGAATTAATTTTAGTAAGAAAAAATCGTATTTCAATTCTGAGAA